GGGGGGGGGACGTTCGAGGATGCTTAAGGTGTCGGTGTGTTGGAAGGGGGGTTCCATATGAGGAGCCAGGACATAGGGAGGGCAAAGAGTCTCATCTTTTGTATCCGCCGGGGATTGATGCTTGCATCAGCCCAAAAACTATACTCGGAGCAACAACACGCCGTCTGTCCCCCTTCCCCTTCTCTCTTAAATCGTCTCACGGTCGGTGTGAGTTACCTCAACGAAGAATGAAAAAAGAATGACTTGTGCCTCTTTCGTGTCTTGTGCTATTGACTTTACGATGGAGCAGTGGGGTTCAACATTGGGCCTACGGTCTGACCAAGTGGTGCATGATAAAGAACAAGCTGTGATGGACATTATCAATCTCGATGGCCCCGCCTCGTGAATCGCTATGATTTACCTGTTTGAGAGGAATCACGCCCAAAGCGATCGTTTACTACGCTTCTTCTTCGCCTTTTACATACCAAATCCTCTTGGCTTTGGAAGGGCGCGAGAGATGTTCGTTCCCGTGGATCGCGCCAGGCTCCCTCCTGGCTGGCCAGCAGGGGGCGAGGTTACAATACGAGACAGGTGAAGAATGAGGCTCGAAAACCAAAAGGATGATCCTACTTGGATGCTCCAGATTGAAAAGCAAGGATGGCAACTTATAGAGAGGACCTGCTAGATCGGGTCAACGGGTTACGAGGTGGCGACCGGAGGTCTCGTTCCACTGCTCTGGCAGCAATGATCCCACCCTCGATGGCGCCGTCAATGAATCCTCTCCACCCATCGGAATAATCACCGCTGGCAAACTTGACGTTTCCCACTGGCTCTTGCAATGCTTCGAGATACTTGGACATGTAGTCTGGTTGGAAGACGCACCAGCCACCGTTGGAGAATGGGCTGCCGATGTAGTCGGCGAAGACCTACGAAATTGGAATTAGCAGACATGACTTTTCGCGAATGCTTGGGCATGCTGCGTATACAATGAGACAAGCACAAACGGATGAGGACGCCGCCGGTTGTTTCTGTCGGGGTCGTCATGATTCGGAGGCAGATAGATGCATTAAGGAGGACACTCACAAAGCGTTTGACCTTCATATCCGGGTGGAGTCCCTCGAAGTACTTGACCAGCTCCCTGGCTTTGATTCTCGGGTCACCAATGTTTGCCCCATCATGGAAGGCGACCAGATTCGTGTCCTTCCCGGAGGGTGAGTGGGACTCGCCCATCACCATTACCAACTCTTCCTCGGCGAATTTGGCACCCGCCCACGACTTCCATTGTTTTCCCTCAACCTGGACGTGAAGCTTCCTGATGGGGTTAGACTTGGCCTTCGCAATTGCTTCGGCCTTCAGTGGAGGGAGCTCCGGAAAGAAGCCGACAGTTCTCAACACGGTGAGCGGAATGGTGCAGACCACCTGACGGGCGCTGAACATGCGGCCGTCGGCGCAAGTCACGGTCGCCCTCCGCGGATCCGAGCTGTTGATGGCCTTGAGGGGATTGGAAAAGCTGTACGAGAGCTTGCCCGTCGAGCAAGCATCGTCAAAGATGCACCTTGCAAGTCCGGTTTGTCCACATTTGAGTTTGTACCTGGCCATGTGGTTCATGTACTCCTCCTGCGTGGTCCCGCACAACAGCCATCTCTGCACGATGTCAAACAGGCTGATTTGAGCAAAGTCGATACCCGCCAGGGCACCTAGGTTCGCCTTCGTGAAGGCCATCTCCTCTTCGGACAGGACGCCGTCGAGTTGGTCTAGACGGTCCTGAACCGACATTCGATCATACTTGACATAATCTGCACGATTATAGCCCGGATTGTGCGGGTAGGGAAGCCATTCCGTCGGATGTTTACCGTCGATTGCGAGAAACGTGGCGGCCGACTTCTCTTGCATGGCAGTCTGGATGTGGCAATGGATTAGCCTCTTGTCTGGCATCGAAGTTGACGATGCCGCGGCAGCCTTACTATTTCTGCCAGCGACCAGTCTTTCCGGGAACCCCCCGTGTAGGTTGATTGTGGCGCTGACCCCGGGTACATTTCCAGAGAATCCTTGATTTGGTTGTTCAGTCCATATCGTGTAACTTCAGTCCACAAATGAGGCTGGTGCCAGTGGATCCAAGTGCCGCCCATCTCATAAGCATGCCCGTCGGTGTATGATGTCCATGTGCGGCCTCCAATGCGGTCCCGGCCTTCGATAAGAAGGACTTTGCGTCCTAGAGACAAGTGACACTGTCAGTGTGGTCCTGAAAGGAGGAGAAAGGCATATACCCTGAGATGTAAGGTCTCGGGCTGTGATGAGGCCCGCATAACCTGCTCCTATGACGATGACATCGTAGGTCTCAGCCGTACGCGCATTCAGTTCATGAGGGTTTATGACTGCAGGGGTTGGCAAGCCCGCCTTTAGTCCCTCCGTTGGAGTATATTCGAAGCCTTCTGCACTAGACAACATGGCGGGGAGTAATCAATGAGGAGCACAGCTGAAGGCAAACTGTCCGCCTGTCCGCATCCTTATATCCTTGTGACGACTTGAGACAAAGCGACAAATAACCAACAGCTGATGTTGCGTACGCCGATACGTACGAGTCATCCGGCGCAGATCCAGCATGATTCAGTACACCGTGCTCAACGTGTGGCTCATTGGAGGTGAAACGTGAACTCAAGCCTACGCTAAATAAGCCTTCTGTGATCCTCTGCAGAATAGCTCGCTATGAACATCCAATTCCGGGTCTTCTCTGTTCCCCTCAATTTGCCTCTAGCTGAATCGAGTAACTGGTCGTCTAGAAACACAAGGCTCCCTGTGAAGAGAAAAGGACCTTATTACACAGGCCTCGGATGAAACCGCGAACATCATCCCAGGACCAGGACGGAGGTCGTGAAAACACCTACCTTGGCGATGACCCATTTATAGAGGAAGCATCCGGGAAATAAAAACCACCATCGATGTATTTTTGAGCTTCGGACTAACCAGGTTTGAAAATTTCCAGCCTAGACCAACTAATTGGTGTTCCCATCTCGACACAGAGAGATGTTGAGAGGTTTGGACATCCTCAGGTCTACCTAGTCACCGCCCCCCCACCCCCCCCCCTCCTTCCTTCCCGGAGAAGCAGTGATAGTTTCACGAAATTGATTCACTGTATTCATGCATGACGGATCTGCTCCCCGTGGTCCACAACCTCGGTAAGGTAGGCATCTTCCATGTATCCTGGGAGATACTTTGCAGGATCGTCCGCGACCAGGAACTTCGGATTCTTGAAATCAACCCATCCTAGACTCGGATGGCTCAACCCAAATCCGGCCAGGCGCTGAATCTCAGCATCATACCGTCTGATGTGTTCGAGTTTGTTGGCTAGGAATTGATTTTCCTCCTATGAACATTCTGATATTAGTTTTACCGCAAAAGTAAGAGGAGGCCTTTTGGCCGGTGGCCAGGCCTTACTGTGCGATTGATCCCCTTGGTCATGAAAGCACCATAAACAAGACGTTCTTCGTCAGCGGTGGTGTTGGCACTTCCCCCGTGAAAGCAACTACCAAGCATGATGAAACCATCACCCAAGTTCAGCTCGGCGTAGACGGCTTCTTCCGAACATGGCCTTCGCTCCATGCCCCACAAATGCGACCGAGGGACAAACCTCGTGGCACCATTCGCCTTGGTCGTCTTGGTTCCAGCAATGAAAAAGTCGATTGTATGGTCGCGGCCAGGCTTGTATTCTGCCGCGGTGATCTCTGGAAGAACGTTGTGATGGATCATGCAATCCCGGTGAAGAGGTTGGTCTTTCGCCCCCGGGCCGACAGAGAAACAAGTAGTCGCATCAAGAATGGGTAGTGACTTCGAGGTGAGCTCAGCATCGCCCCACCAAGATTTGTGTACATTGGTCAGGTACTCTGTGCAGATATCTTGGTACAGCTTGTTGGCGACAATGTGTTTGACAAACGTTTCCGACTTTGCGATCAGACCGTTGGCACGTCGCGTCTCCTTGGGAAAGGACCTCTCGTTGGCATAAGCCACGTCGGCGTCAAAAGACGGTCTCAGATCTCGCTCGATTTGGTCAAGCACGTCCTTTTGCAGGACATTTCGAAGAATGACTCCTCCATCTCTGGCGAGGGTCTTGAGGCAGTCTTCCAGCTTAGTCTCAGAGTACTCATACTCCACGACCTTGATCTCCGGCGCGGGCTTAGCAATCATAGTGAGAGGAGCTAGTGAAACGAAGCTGGTGAGGAGGTGATGCCAAAGAGTGTTGGGGAATTGAGAAGCGGTCAGTTTTCTCAGATGGTCGACTTAAAAAACTTCCCAGACTAAGGAATCATGTAGGGTTTGATGGTTATTCGGAGGCTGTCAAGGAGCATCGGGGATCTCCTGCTCTCCTGAGTTCTCGTTCGGGACAAGGTATTGAAGAAATACATGATAGGGATGTATGTGGATTGATAAGACACCAAATCTCCACCCAGCATCTGCCTCAAAGGAACGTCCACATGTAGTTCTGGCATGGCTGCACCTTTTCGCTCGCCGTCGCTGTCGTTTTCCTCTTCTGAAGAGGCAGGCTTCCATGGCTACATTTCGCATTGTCACTAGCCTCGGCGCTTGTGAATCGTGTCGCTGATTTAGGAACTAGTCTATCAGTAGGACGGGTCTGCAATCCGCTGATCCTCCAAATCTTGCTAATGACACCGAGCCAATAGCGAACGTGCAGGCAGGCAGGCAAGTCAAAAGACGTGAGACAAACCAGTTAAGAATACTTGAGTTTGATTGGCAGAACGATAACACGCTCTTCGTTGCCGAACTATTCCAAATTACTTGACCATCAAGCTAGTTGGGTGCTAGTTGCCCTTTACCCATTGTGCAGAGGTTGGGCATGGCTATATAACACTTGATGGAAGCTATAACGGTATAATATCACACCCGCCCGGGCCGTTTACCAAGTCTTGCCAATGGAGGTCGGAACCTGGGGCGGACAATTCCCGTCGGTGCCATAAGTTCTTGACGAGATCAGCCATGGCGCCGAGATTTGCAAAGCCGGCTTTCTGCTTGCGCTTGAACCACTCTAGCATTTTCCTTTGCTGCGTAGCTTTGTGGCATTCGGCGGCCACAACCAGAGTCGGCCAGGCCACAACGATGCCCAGTGTATCCTGCTCTAAAGCCAGAATATGCTCGATATGTCCCAAAGCCTTGTCAACAAGATCCTGCAAGTCGTTGGTTGGCACGTGCCGGAAGACGCGACGGAAATAGATGAGAATTGCAACGTAGAAGAAGCTGGCTGTGTGCTGTAGCCGTTGCCGCCCTGCCGCGTCCAAATCTCCCGTGGGAAGGTCGGAAGGAATATGAAGATATAGCTGCAATTCGAGAGTGTCAAGTTCGTTGGTGCTCAGATTGGTTTTGGTCGAAGACATTGCATTCAATGCAACCAGAATTTTAAGCAAGCCCCTGGTGATTCCGTAATTGAGCTCGAGAAAATGGTCGTCGGCGGGAAGCTCGTCGAGAAACGAGACCATTGTGTCGGGAACTGGCAGATTGCACATTCCCGCTAGAAAGAGGTAAGACTGGACTATCTTGGTAGTGATGGCTTGGTCTTTGAAATCACAATTGACCAGTGAGTGGTACTTCAGTCCACCCGCAAGGTGACTTCTCCATTGCTTCGTTCCCCCGGAGACCGCGTCCTTGATGGCATGGCAAATGATGGCGTATGCGAGAGCGGCATCGCCAGTTCCGCTAATACTGGCGAGACAATGCTGCGTGTGACGCAATGCAAGATGATTATGCTGTAAAGAGAGAGACATGTAGTGATTGTCTTGGTGTCGCAGTTGATACAAATTCTGGGCCGACAATGAGCAGAGGGCATGAAATAGGGCTATCGATCCGTTCGATTCCCGAGAATTGCAATTGATTCCAACAAGAGCCATGGGCATCCACAGAGTGCGACACGGGTTGTCGATTCGGTCAACGGCGACCATGTTTCCGCCCAGGTACATCACCCAATGGTGCACCAGCTCGCGCTGACTGGCCGGAATTTGAAGAAAGTCGATGTGTCTATGAATCGGGGGATCCGCGGATCTATCTTGCCGTTGTTGGATCTTTTGCCATTGTCGTGACGAGGAGAAATTTCTGCCAAGGAGTGCCAGGAGGCCATCTTGCTCATCCAGCCAGTCAGCCACGTCAGGGGCGTCAGCGGAAATGGTGACAGCAAGGTGGTGAGATAAGGGCTCACAACTGTCAGGTCCAGCCAGATAGGAGTCATTTGACCGAGTGTTTGCGCTGCGCATCGCCTTCGGCGTGGTAGAATTGAAATTACTATCCACGGGAGCCGGCTCCGTGAGCGGCCATGGCCCGGTTGTGCAGAGTGAGAAATTGTCGAGACTGGAAAACGGGATCCTTCTACAAGGATCGGTCGACCCATCTTGCCCTGTCTGATCCGGGCTCAAGGTCGAGAAGCAACCCATCCAAGGCTGGTCCAGGGTGAGTGAGGAGCCAGGAATGTCTGCACCGCGGACTTGCTCTCCGTCGAGCTCATCCTCCAACTCATCGGGGGGGTCATCTTCCGAGACAAGAGCTCCGATGTGAAGGTCTGAAGGACCGGTAGCAGACCGGACGTCGGTGGAGGTCACAATAGGAGCTGTGGGAGCTGTGGGAAGCGCGGGAAACACAGAGAAAGGGCCCCGTGTTCGCGTGAGAACCGTGTGTGATGACTCCTCGAGATCGGATAAAAAGGATGCCACTTGCTGAGAAGTAAATCGAGTAGTACTGGCAGTACGATAAGCCGTAGGCCCGACGCATCGCTTCTTACCGGCTGGTTGAACAACTGGTGTCTCGGCGAGCATGTCCAGATCCGAAGCGACGGTCAGGTTCACCCAAGCGAAGCGGGCGGCATAGCCCTGACAATCGACACCAAACTTTGCGCATCTCTGGCAGGTAGGCCTCCTCTCATCGCACTTGACATGGCGGTCGCGGCATGTCCAGCACCCAGAGAGGGTTTTGGTGCGTGTCTTGGAGATCTTCGGCCGCCTGCGATGGTAGGAGATTGAGGCTGGAGACATTAGTGATGCACTCTGTCCATCCATCGAGATTTGAAGTCTGTGACAGCGACGGAGAATTGGTAAAAATGTGCAGAACAGGGAGGAAATCAAAGAGATATCTAAACGAGTTGGTGACAGCGAGCAACCACGATATCTCTGCAGCGCGGGCACGAATCAGGGGTGCTTAGGTGGGGCGGGTCTCCGGGCAGATGTCCGCTGGCGCCCTTTTAACTGGCGAGCCCTATCATTGAGGTCCCACTAATCACTAGTTTAGTTGCGAGATGCCCCAGCCCAATGGCGGGAGAGAATGACCAAGGTCTCGCTCGGCCCATCCATTCCACCAACTTGGTCATCGACAAAATGGAGCGAAAGGCATGTCAACTCCCAGAACGAGGGCCATGTTGCAGAGCTCATGTTCATCGCGCAGTGCAATGTAGGTATAAAGTGTTGTCCTTCGTCCTCCGACGAAAGAGTCCTCGTAGAGAATTCTCGCTAGCTCTTCTGTTCTTCCCCCTCCTTTGTCTCCCTTAACCAGTCCCGATGACATCGAAAACTATGCAGGTACCGGCAAGTATGGACAACAAGATATCGCCCGCACCCCTCGAGGTGTTCATCGAGCCCACAATCTCGGTGCAGGAAGGCACTGTCGAGCTTGCCGAACTCAAGGAAAGATTCAATGTCTGGAGTACCATTGGCATGGCATATGCATTGATCGCCACTCCTTTGGGGATTGGCAGCTACTTGGTCTTTACGCTCGGCGTAGGCGGATCTCCTTACTTCATCTACGGCTACATCTTTGTCGCCATCATGCAACTGGCGGTGTGCTCCAGCCTGGCTGAGATTTCCGCCGTCTTCCCCCATGCTTCTGGTGAGGATGAATGCTTGACCTCGAAGTTTACTTGCTCACGCAGTGGTTACCAGGTCAGATCTTCTGGGTTGCCGCGCTGGCCCCTCCTCGACTGTCGCGGGGCCTGAGCTACTGCAACGGTGCCTTCACCTTGCTGGCCTGGACATTTGCGACCACCGGTTGTTTCGTCTTTACCGGACAAATGTTCGTCGCCTTCGCCACCATCTTGAATGAACAGTATCAAATCCAGACCTATCAGGTATTTTTGCTTGCCATCGCTTCCGCTCTTCTCTCGCTGGTCTTCAACATCTGGCTTTTCAACTGGATTCCTGCCATCGCCAAATTCTTTGTCGTCTTCATCAACGCGGGCACGGTATACCTCTTCGTGGCTCTACTGGTTCGCGCACAGCCCAAGGCCACCGCCAGTGCCGTCTTCACGGAGGTTGTCAACGAAACCGGTTGGGCGTCAAAGGGACTTGTGTTTTGCCTCAACGTCCTGCCTGGAAGTGCCTCCGTGACGGTCTTCGATGCCGCCGCTCACATGGCGGAAGAGTTACCCCATCCAGAGAAACAGGTTCCACAGGTCATGATCTTCACCAGCCTCCTGTGCGCATTGGGCGGGTTCATTATGATCATCGTCTACCTCTTCTGCACCACCAATCCAGCGGCGCTCCTGGAGCCCATTGGCGGTCAGCCGATCTTTCAGCTCTTTCTCGATGCCTTCCGGTCGAAGCCACTACTGGTGATTGCGGCACTCATCTTCTGCGCCGTTTTCGTCTTCGCCTGCATCTCGTTTGTGACAACCCTCAGTCGCGTTTTATGGTCCTTTGCCAAGCACCACGGCACGCCGTTCAGCAACTTTCTTGGCCACGTCCACCCTAATTCACAGATTCCTGTCAACGCGGTCTGTGTCTGCACACTCGTGACAGGTTTGATTTGTTTATTGGACTTTGGGCCGGCTCTCATCCTGAATGCCTGCTTCGGCGCCAGCTCAATCTGTGGTGCCGTGTCGTATGGCATGCCGATTTGGTGTCTCATCTTCAAGGGCCGGGGCGATTTCCCTGAGAAGCGCCATTATTCAATGGGAAAGTTTGGGCTGCTCGTCAATCTTGTCGCCGTCCTGTGGCAAATCTTTCAAGTGATCTTTTTGGCTTTTCCTTTATATTATCCGGTGACGTCCTCGAACATGAATTATGCGAGCGCTGTCATGGGCGTTGGGGCCATCGTGTTCGCCATCAACTGGGTTCTTCATTCTAGACGACGTTACGAACAACCCAAGCCTCTATTTGTGGCAGCACTGCACGGCGATTTGACTCGAAAGGACGCTTGAGGACGTACGCGAATGGAAGCAAGTGAGTCTGAGGGGTGAGCGGTCGGGAAGACTGGGGTAGTATGCCCCTTCTGCCACTGGCGAGAATTGGAGAGAATGAGCCATAGTAACCAGGAGGTTTGGGCAATGTTGTCTGTTAGGAAACTCTCCTTTGACGCGTAGAACTGTAACAACGTACAGGCTGGCGGTGCATCCTGTAGCCACGGGGGATACTACGGGGGATGCTTCGGGGCAGGTTGGCCGAAGCCGCATGACCAATGAAAACGGGAGAATACACATGGGTAGCACAGGACCAGTGGGAGCTGGCACCAAAGGGATGAGTCACATGACCTCTGTCGTCTCTGTGAATGATTAGTCGATGTTCAGCTACGTCTGCAACTGTGAAGCCCGCGGTTGCATCCTGAGAGGCCACGCAGAATCGGCCCCTAACACGTTAGCACCAATCGGCTCCCTTTTTTCTAATTAAACCATACCTTAGCGCCCAGGGCTTGAAATAGTGTGTCGACCTCTATCCGACCCAGATATACAACTAATCCACGGACTTGGACATATCACGGCGCAACCCCACAACCTTACTATGTATATGCCTCAGCCTTGTCACAGACCAGATCTGACCAGACCAGACTGGACCCGCCCCTTGCCTATGACTACTTACAGCCTCGCCCACGCCACATGTCTCCTCGGCCTCTCCACATCTCAATATTTCACTTATGTGACCCTCACAGCATGCTCATGAAACTATCGCACCCCTCAGACAATGTCTCAGACCCTATACGGTATGTTACGGAACCCTTATATACCGCGGTGCAATGTCTCACAGAAGTCTGGAGTGCGTTAGAAATCAAACCCTCTAACGCAATCTGGGAATGTGACGAGAGGGAGGCCTTCGCCCCCTCTCTTGAAGGGTCTACATAGCTCGCCTCCAGACCCAGGAACCTTCTTAGAGGCTCCTTGTCTTCTGTCTTGTACTTATAGTGCACCAGATGGCAATATCATTGTCAGCCCAAGCCTTCTCCCACGTCTCGAAACCCTCTTGGGGCCCTCCTAACTCCCCAGAGGCCTTCGCGTGATACATCCCTGACAGGAACAGATCCACCGATATCTGACATTCAGTCCCGATCCAGTCGCAGATGACGCTTCATTCTTTGACAAACTTGAGCCTGTTGCATTGATTATATGATCCAATTGTCAACAGACAGCTTTTCCAGCGTCCTGGCTATCGGTGGACGAAGCGATGTTGGCGTACAAGGGCCGCACGAAGCATACAGTTAAGGTCAGGACAAACCAATTACTGAAGGCTACAAAGTGTGGCTTCTCCACTGTCGAGGCGGGTACATCATCGATTGGCTGTTCCACAGCAAGATTGAAGGTACATAAGAAGGTTTGCGGCACTGCAAGACACGATATATGCAACCCATCCCACTCCTACCAATCCAACTTGCGGAGACTTACTAAGTGCCTGTCCGGTTCCTATCGAAGTTGGGTGCCTGCCATTCTCACCCAAACTGGCTAGCGTTCCTGGACAATTTATTCCTCAATAGTGATGTGGCCCATGTACTTCTTTAACTTGGTGTAGGTGTTATGGGAACCACCCGCAAAAATTCAGTCGACATGCCTCGAATACCACGTAATCTGAAGGAACTGAATACAGCCCCGGTCTATAGAGGCAATCTTGTAGTTCTGTAGGGTCATATTCTATGTTTTGCCTAGCGAGACAACCATACGGTTCTCGGAATGACTACCGCATAGTCTCTACATCGCCCCAAAGAGGACTTCGTGGTAGATAAGTAGCGATCCAAAGAGTCCTCTACCGATTATCATATTGCTAAATCGGTATTCGCCAAGTGAGAGAAGGAAACACCTACCTGTTCCTGTCGCAACTAATGACTACAATCACGCTATGCTCTCTGGAGACAATAGCAATCAACTCCGGAGCTCTCTTTCTCTCTCTCTCGCTCTCTCTACTCCACACAGGTTTCAGAGCTGCACTTGGCGCTCCACAAGCTTCTTTCTTTTGATATTGCTCTAGGCAATGCGTTCGTTCCCTGAAGAGAGTCTCTGTCTAGTAGAATGCGGAGCTAACTAGGGGACCTATGGTATGACATACAATACATAATATTTGACATGTAAACACTACGGTAGGTACTTGCAGGTATATCGGATGTGTACCGAGTAAGTATCCAGATTATCGGTGAATCGGTATACAAGTGTAGTAGTAATGGCACTATATAGAGGCTGCTTGAAGCCTTATTTTGAAACTCGGCTCGACTCGGGAGAGCACTGCTCGCGCTCGCAAACTGTAGGCTGCTCTTCCCAAAGGCTGCCCCTATTCCGATTCCTTGTGTGTATGCTTGTCTTGTGCGCTTGTACGCTTTTTTCAATCGCTTGGTCTTCCAGAAGAATAGCTAAAAGACAAAGATAAAAGTTGTGAGGTGGTTCGAGATGCGAACCCATTCCCTCTTTTGCCTGTCTCTAACAGTCTCTAACCTTCCCTACCTCCCTTCCATATCGCATAATATCTCATGATCGTCGCTCCGTTTCGCAAATCCAAAACCCCTGATTCCTGACTCCTGACAAATTCCAAAAGGCTCAGCCAGGCACCAGGTCCCACGTCTTCGAGAGCAAATGATGGCCCGCCAGGCACACCCTATTCTCGCTGCAGGTAAAAGTCGTCCACGCCATTATACCGGGAACCGGGTGTTCCGGCGGGGTAGAAGATCTTCTTCAGCACCATTAGACACAGCGCGAGGAACACGCCCGCGATCGCCCGGTCGATGGTGATGGTATGTTCCCTGTCCCTTCCCTGGCCCCGCCGGAGAGTCAGGGGCTGCGCGCTCTGTGCAATCGCCGCATTGGCCGCGGCTAACGGGGCATTGTGCAGCCCCGCGAAAAACGGTCGCCGATGATGAGTGTCAGTAGAAGAACCTGTGTTGGACGAAGCAGATTGAGCAAAATCGCCCGGCGTGAGGACTGACTCAGCAGAGGCCTGAGCTGCTTCCGCGGAGGGCGTAGGGACCATGGGGATGCATCGCTGGCTGGCGGGTCGGGTGAGGTTGGATGAGTTGGATCGTGATGAGTGTGATGAGGACGACGGCGGAGGTTGAGGCTTGGAGGATGGTGGCACTGGTACCGATGCAGGTTGCGCAGGGGCATCGGGATCTGGATCTGTAGAAGGTTGTAGCAACCGCTCTTGTGGCACCGTTGTTGTCACCTTTGCATCTTCCTGTTCAGCAGCTCCTGTTGTTTGCGAAGGGACGCCAGGTTTTGCATTCGGGTCTCTCGCCTCCAGCGTCATGCCCTCCGGCAGTCTCTCTAATCCCAGATCCTCCTCTGCCGAGACGTTGACACCGGCCTCCCGACAGATATCCCACCACTCGCGCATAATGGTCTCATTCGTTTTGCGACAAGCCTCGCATTTCCAACTCCGACTCTCCTTTGCCAGTCTCCTCCTCACGTCCGCAGGTGCTTCCAAGCCTCCAACTTGGCCAGCTGAACCCTTCTCGGCCATGAACGTCCGGAGCGCCGTCAACGCGGTCCGGACACCCCAGGCGGGCATCCACGTCTCTTCGTGGAACCCGGATATGCTCAGACAGATCTCGCGGTTGACCTCAAACCTCCCTGACGGCGTGAGAAATCTAAAGTTCGGCGGCTTCAGTGGGTATGTGGCCGGTAGCGTGATGCGCCCGTGGTACATGCCGCCAGCGTATGGGGAGGGAGAAGGAGGACCGAGCAGAGTGAAGTGCCATTCATGCAGATCGGAGTCGGAGACAGGGCCTGCAAAGAAGGCGGGGTTGGGGTTCGAAGAGGGCGAGGAAAGCTCGGCAGTCTCCTTGAGAAGGCGCCGGATCGTAGGCGAGGGAGCCATGGTTGTCTGAATCTGGTAGCAGAGGTCGAGGCAATCCGCAAGTTGAGACTCAGGATGAGGTCATTGAGTGGCAATAGGCTCCAGTAAAGATGCTGTTCAAACGCTGATCTGGTGCACAGAGGAGTAGATACAGGGCAGTATGAGATTATGAGGTCGGTTCGGGTACAGACTCCCAGCGCAACATGAGGTTTCCCGCATTCGTCGAGGAGGTCAACGGATGGGCGCATGCTGTTCGCAAGACAAGGCTGACCTGCGCCAATTTCTCAGCCTTGTGATTCTTGGAAGTGGCTGGCCGCTTTAAGGGGTTCCTTCCAAGGCTGAGATGATGATTCGTCTCTTTTCATTTTACAAAGTCGTTGCGCAGAGGGCTTTCCAACAGAGATAAGACTTTAACGGAAATACCCTGTTCAAGACACCTGAAGCATTGTTTCCAGCTTACAAGAGGTTTCTATCGATGGTGTCCAGCCTTACTTTCGACTGCTACACCACCACGCGGTGCACACCGGAGTCCACAGATCTCCACGATCTCCAATTATTGATTGAACGATTGAGAGAGCCACTCGAGCTCTTACCGACAAAGCGGTCCACATGAAGAAGGTGCCATGTTGTTTGCTCCCAAGAATAAAGCTGCCCCTTTCTTGATAAGGGCTGCGACTCGTCCCATGGCGCCGCATATCTTGGACCACTCTCAGGGATCCCCCAGGAACGAATCTTCTCTTCCCATCTCAACTGGGTAGTCGGAGGGTGAGAAGCGGGATGTGATGGATATGGCGATTGGTGGCAGCCTCGTCCTATGGCGTCGCAGAACAACCGCCTCGTCTCAACTCGGTCACAGCCTTGTCCATGCGAGGCAAGGGGCGCGTTTCACGCTGCTTCAGCCACGAACCCCCTTTGTCCCTTACCCTCATCACTCCGACCCTGATGCATCTGAACGAGCAATATCACAAAAGTTTAAAAGGTAGGTAGGGACGTGTGATCTGGGAATGCAGTCTCGCCATATCTTCGCTTCCTTTTTTTTTAAGGCTTCGACAAACACTTGCTATTTGCCCTTAGGCCTGAAAACTTTTGCACAGAGCATCCTCATTGAAGTACTGTGCCTGGCACCTATTGCTTCCGAGTATACATTCAATAGGCC